GTCCAAAACCAAATAAATACGATGTTGGGTACATAAACTTTCACTCGGAATAACTTTACAATCTTTGTAATTAAAAAGCAAATCATCTTACAGAAAACAAAGCAGCGGACGCAAATCAACGGCGATCTAATATCACTTTTCCTATTATGTACATGAAGAAGAAAAAACTAGAAAAAAAACAAGTTGTTGGCATTGGAAAGTTGCAATCCTGAAAGAATTATGGAGTCAGAAAAAGAATATCTGCTGCTGCGCTCAGTTCGAGTACTAATCATAAAAATAACCCGAATCAATGAGCTGTGAAGATTTAGCAATAGATTTCATTTCATCACAACTTGGTTAAGGATCTTGTTACTTGTTAGTGCCATTGAAAAGGAAATCGAATAATAGCATTGAAATATGCTAAGGATTATGCCTTTTCTGATAGATTTCAGAATGAGAATCTATCTGTAGCACAAAGACAAGAACATTATGATCACTTAGCAGTCAAAGCAATGAAAACAGCTTCAGTAATAACATGAGTCCTCTTTGTAACGCCCAGTCCCAATAAATGATTAATGTAAACCTTCCCTTCCTTCACTGTCGCCGAAGTAGCAAGGCGATGCAAAGGTCAAATAAATCTTTCTGTAACAGTTGCAGTATTCGAATCATCAAAGCACTCCAGAATTCTAGCAGAGGGTGTGCCTGCAACTACTAACTTAGTTGGTGACAGAAGCTCCATGCCATCTCCCAAAAGAAGGGAGCCTGTAACTTGTACAACTCTTACATCCTCTGTTTTGATATCAATCTTGAAGAGATAGCCACCAGCTGTGTGTACGACAAGAAGATAGCCATTTTGGTGGTATACAATCCCATTAAAAATCACACGAAGAAGTGCTCCCATATATTCTACCAGAAACATCAAAACAAATCACAACGGTATCAAAGTCCTGGCATTTAGAGAGCCAAAAATCGATATGCTATGTCTTACCTTCAAGCAGAAACATCAACAGGGAACCGGAATTATATCCAATTGCTTTTGTAATGCAAATTCAATTGCAGAGTTCCAAACAACCTAGAGAGACATCTATCTAATTTATTTTAAAAAAAAAACTTCAAGAAAAAAGGACAATTGGATAGGAACTCTATCTATTATAATTGGAAATATCAACAAAAAGATAGAGAGATCAGTAATCACAAATCAGCTACTGAGATGCTTCAATTTGTAGAAACTCAAGCACAACAAACAATTCTCAGACCATCCATAAAGATCATGCCTTCCAATCATCAAAAACAGCATGGGATCGCATTTATGCGAAATTTCTTCCACAAAAAACACCCATCCGTGCACATAACCATGACAGAAAGGACAAATGCAGTCTTGTGAACTAGGTTTAAATCCAACTCCAAAACTTACAGGTAAAAAAAAAAACACTCTTTAATGTCGATAGCAAGCTCCAGTAATCGAGATCGGAAAAGGCATCCATTAACAGGAAAGATGTAAATCAACCAACAGCAAACATTTGCAACCTTCCACTTGTCGCGAGAGAGAGAGAGAGAATGGGATTGTTTGGGCATCTACCAAAAGCTGCGATCTATCAACTTCTAGATCCCAAACAGATCAAGATCTGGCGTCGGCGAATGGTTCTTCCCTGTAGTTGGGCTCGACGTCGGCTACTTGTCAAGCATGTCACCGATGGGATGACGTGCGGTGGAGGATGCTTTTGTCGAAGGAGCCGAAGAAGTCGTTGGAGCGGAGAAGCGAAGAAGACGTTGGAGCGGAGCCGAAGAAGACGTTGGAGGGATGAGGGCGTTGCTGACAAAGAGGTTGGAGCGGAGAAGGCCGGACTTGAGGGCGACGGAGTGGAGCTGCTCGCCGGAGCGAATTCTCTCCGGAGCTGCTTTCCGGAGCGAAGTCGAACAAGAACGAAGGAGTCGAAGAAGACTATCGTGCAATGAAGCCAAACAGCACGACGAGATCGAAGCTTTTATTCTGATGAATTTATAACACGCTCAATACGAGCGGTTTCTAATTCACGCAGAACAGCCCCCATAATACACGCCTAATGCATCCAATGGTTCCTTTTGTTCCGCTCAAAATTACCCAAACAATCAAATTTAGTAAATACAGGTAATTGTTTTAAATTACACTCCTAATTTAGGCAACCAAACAGCCCCTTAGTAAATACTTCGATGGTAATGATCTCACTACAATGAAATTTCTTGATTTATATTTGGATAATTATGTATGCACAAAAGCTTTTGGGGATCACTGCAAGGGAATATGGGATATTCAGCTCTAGACATTTGCAATAAATGGTGTATGGTCATTTGCATTCTTGAACTCAAACGACAACAACTGATGTTACCAGTTTTCATAACAAAGACTATGACATTTCTCCAAATAAAACAAAAGTTGTAAAAGGAATGATAGACTCGGCAGATTGATTGTTTGACAAATTTAGTAGTAGTGCTAATTTATATGCATCCATAAGAGCTTCAACTGATGAATAATTTCCTTCCAGGAACTTGAACAGGGAAACAAATCTGGTCTTCGAGAGGTATGATGTATTCAATACTTATTTTACACTAGATTTTTGTAATGAGATGGAAAACATGTTTTTCTTTTGAAATAAACATTAATTCATCAAGAGATTAGGTATCTTGTGATGTGATTTAAACCATGTTTTGCTATTTTATATGGAGTCCTAAAGAAGGCTTGAAAAATCACTTGAAGGTGATGATACATCGGGAAGCTATCAAGCTTTCACCTTTGTCTACCGCAGTCATCTACCACAGGTCACTTGATGGCTCTGAATCAAAGACTGGATATGTAAGATTGTCGACATTTTCACAGGTACTGATTTTGGACCTTCTATAGTATAGTATTCTTCATCCTTCATATGCATTAAGTGGCGTTTATCTGCAATCATTGTGGCAAAAATAGCAGACTTGATCACCATATTTGAATTTCTGTCTCATATCATTGCTGCTGTGAATGAGTTGAACACTTAAGTTGTATTACAGTTGTCACATTCTGAAATGAGCTGTTTTCATGAACAACCCCCTTTATTCCATACAAATTTTCTTAATTATCAGTTGGGAGAGAGTGAATTATCAATGCTGGCAGTAGAATCTAGATTGAAGATAAAACTGTTGCACCTCAATTAACTTAGTCCAAAATTTCTGCCATACCCTGTTCGTTTTGGGTGCCACTGATATATTTGGGCTGATTTAGCATTGGGTGATCGAAGCAATCTCATAAATTGCAACCTTGAGCCCAAAGGAAGGACAGAGCTTTGCAAACTGATGGGAACACATTCTTGACACAATTAAACCTTTTTTAGGCCTTCATTGTCGAAGACTTCATGTCTAGAACAGTTTAGTAAACAGTTTTGTTTTTTCGTTGTCATATTAATGTCGATGAAACCTCTTGATATGCATTTATTTCATATTGAGATATTGATTTCATCAATGGAAATCTTAATCAGACGGCTGCTGTTGACATGGAGAATGCAATCCAAGCAATGGAAGACCAGGGTGTCCAGTCTTACATACTTGATTTACGGAATAATCCAGTAAAGTCATTTATTACTATTCTCATTCATTTAATTTCTTCAGGCGGACCTAAATGTTTGATAATTATAAATATTTTTTTCTAAATGTACAGGGAGGTTTAGTGAAAGCAGGACTGGATGTTGCACAAATATGGTTAGATGGGGATGAAACTTTGGTGAACACAATTGATAGGGAAGGAAATATGTTACCTATCAATATGGTCAATGGTCATGCTTTAACACGTGACCCACTTGTTGTGATTGTAAGTTTTTATTCTCCCTTCTTAATTTCAAACAATCAAATGACTTGCCTGCTGTTTTTGACCGTTGATGATGGGGCGGTCTACTGTTTTCTAGAAATAATGCAGTTTTGCGTGCAAGACTTTTTTTCCCAGAAAACTAGAACAAGACCGTTTTCATTCAATCAGCATATCTCAGCCACAATATTTATACCCCTGAATTCATTTCGTTTGATTTTATGCAATTTAGTTAACAAATAGTTTTAATAGAATTTTGAAGCAGAGGATGCCAGCTGCTAAGTGATCGTAAAAAAGAATTTTGGTTCTAATATTTAATAAAAAAGCTGATGTTCATTATTGTGTTAATTAGAAGAATAAAAGTTGTGAGTCATACAATAAAATTATGGAAGTAATGGAACATTTGGCTTAGAAACTTTACATCATTTTTTGAGAACCAATTTGGTTTTATGCTAGAGAGATCTCCTATAGAAGCGATTTATATGATGAAACAATTAATGGAGAATCTTGAAGGAGTATGATCAAGATCATATGAATTGATTTGGTATTTTTTAAGGTAGAAAGATGTGTCAAAGATATGTTGATATTATTAATTCTATGAATGATGGAGAATTGATAGTGTTATAACTGAAAGCGCAGCAGCTAAGCTATTTCTCCACTACAACAAATCATTTCATATTCTGCCATGTCAGCCATTATGCCTGCCACAGCCTTTTTTATTCTCTTGCAGCCAATCGCAGGACCTGGAGTACAACTACCTAAGGGCATTGTAGGAACTTCATTTTCATGTTATTCCTATTATATATATACACCTTACTGTACATGTATTACATAATATAGAAATCAGATTTATTCTTGCTCCGTTTCATCGTTACTGTTGTTATCTGTTATCTTCTACCTCTTATTCAATTTTTCTCATCACAGGATTCAACATGGTATTAGAGCAATCAGCCTAACAGCCACATCCTTGTCTATGAACTTCATGGATTCTTCCATCCTAAAGCTCAGTGATCCTTCTATTCCTTCTCAACTGAAATTCCTGGAGTCGAGTATTAAGAATATCGTACATACCCAGCTCTTTGTCGACAACTATCCACTGTGATGGTCTCAAATTCTTAAACTTTTTATAGCAAATGGATTAGATGGATACCTAGATGGCTCGACATCCTTCCTAGTTCCTGATCTTGTCTCCGATATAGGTCAAAATTCCTCGAATCCATAATATACCCTAGCACACTCCAGGATCTATATTGGAAGAATTACATTTGTTTTAACCATTTAAATAGAGTTTATCAATGAACAAATAAAAAAATATGATTACATTTTTATCTTGTTCAGGTCTCATATTATAGGATTTTTATCCTTTCTTAAAAACATATAAAATCACATAATGAGCACATAACTCAGTAAGTATTTAAAATCTTACAACTGAAATCCATGCAAGATAAAAGTAAACAATATGCTATAAATCATATAAGAAAATATATGCATTAATATATATATATATATATATACATATATGTATATATATATATATATATATATACATATATATATATATATATACATATATTTATTATTTGTATCAATTTATCTTTCTATAGTTCATCACATCTCAATCTATTATATTATCAGTCACAATATCAATATCAGTCAACAATATTAATGCTAGTAATAATATTAATATCATGATCAATAATCTTAAATAATGTTAATGACAATAAACAATATTAGTGATAGTCATAATATCAGTACAATATTCATAGCAGTGTTAGTATCAGCATTAAAATATTTAATGAGTGTATCTTAAGGATACATTGCTCCTGCACTTATGACTCCCAATCAACCACCTCTTATAACTCCCAATCAATGTACTCCTTATAACTTACTTTGAATTATGTGAATTAGTCGCTCGACTCCTTGTAACTCCCAATCAATATCCAATTTCTTATGACACCCAATCAGTGAATAACGTGGATTAGGGCTGTCAAAAGCATGTTTCGGGTCGGGCTCGAGTCAAACCCGAATATAACCCGACAATTTTTAACCAGAGCCAAACCCATTCCATTTTTGCAGATGGGTCGGTTTTTTAGATTTGAACTCGACCCACTTCTGATCTGGGTCAACCTGAACCTGACCCTCTTCTTTTTTGCTTTACTTAAATTATTTTTATTTAATTCTATTTATTTAAACCTAAATCGAATTAAGGTAAGATTTACATCAATCAATTTAAAATAAACCAAACTTAATTTAGTTTGGGCAATATGGTTTATTATTTTTTGGAAATAACATTTAATTATTTCATAACAATCTTCTAAAACCCTCTTAAATCATTTAAAAATAGGTCAAATCAGTTTGATTTAGGGTTTTCAGGTCAACCCGAACTCGACCTAGTTTTACAAATTGGTCGAAATGCCTAACCCGAACCTGACCCAATTCGGGTTCAGGTTGCTTGAACCAAATTTTTTTGGGTCAGGTTCATGTCAGATTTTCGGGTCATGTCAAATATTGACTCCCCTAACATGGATCAATAGGGTATCACGTGGAGTTATCATATCATGTATGTGGTATCATTCAATACTTCATTTAAAATGTAATGAAATTATGTCAAAACATTTAAAATGATCACAATTATAATATATCCAAACTTGTATGGTGAAAGCTTGTGAAATCAAGTGATAATGCATTTTTGACAGATTTAAGAGAAATAAAATTCATAGAAATCAAAATCATTGAAAATAGAAGTAAGAGCTTAATTTTCTTACAATGAATTGAACAAAATCTATAACAAATATGATTCAAAGTTTTTTCTCTCTTCTCTATCTTCTTTCTCTCTTTCGATTTCTTCCTGACCAAGCAATCAAGTGAAGGAGTCAGTGGGGTAAAGCAAGGATATATATATATATATTTCCATGTCCTAATGTCACAGCGCACACCAGATTAGCGCCAAAGTGCTCTATTTCAGAGTGTTTGGTTGTCGTTGCTACCCATGGCTTCGTTCTTATTCATTTAATAACTTTTCTACTTAATCCATGACATGTATTTTTCTTGGATACCCTTCTTTGCAAAAAGGCTATTGCTGCTTTAATCCGGCTACCAATCAAACTTTCATTTCCAGATATGTTATATTTGATGAATTCACTATCGTTTCCTCCATTCCCTCTCATACAACAATTCCACCACTCGCAACGTACTCCTAACTCTTCCTCTTCCCCTAACTTCTATTACGCCTCTCCCTACAACTCCTGCTCCACCATTTCATACCTCATCTTCTTCCCACTCCACTCGTCCATCCACTTCTTTAAATCTTTCTTCCAGCATCTCATAGATTCACAATTCCCCTTCCACTTTACATTCTTTAACTCTGCACCTCCCTACTCCATTTCATCTCTAATTCTTCCTCGACATCCCCTGCTTACTCAGTTTCAGATTGGCCCCCTCAAACCTCGCCAAATTCTTGATCTTAATCACACCATATCCAACACTCCAACCAGCTTCAGCTCTGCTATTAAACATCTTTGAACGGAGAAAGTCACTATCTAATGAATTTCATGCTTTACAGTCACATGGCCCTTGGACACTTGTGCCTCGTTCCGACCAAAATGTCATCGGCAATAAATAGATGTTCAAAATTAAATGCCATTCTAATGGATCCATTGCTACATATAAAGCAACTTCTTGTATAAGGCTATAAACAAGAATATGTTATTGATTATTTGGAAACCTTTAGCCTAGTTGCCATACACCTGTTTCTTGCTGTCGCCCTTCACTTCAGTTGGCCCAATTTATAGTTGGATATTGCAAATGCCTTCCTACATGGAAAATTTCATGAGACTGTGTATATGGCTCAACATGATTATGTCTATTTATTACACAAGGTGTTTTATGGTATGAAACAAGCTCCCAATAATGGTTTGCTACACTTTCTTCATACTTGCAGCAATAAGGCTTCCAAATCATCAAGACGTCAAAGTTTATATTCTTATTTACGTTAATGATATTTTAGTAATAGGTAATGATCAATCTACCATTTCAACTGTCCTAAAGCACCTCAATTCTCGCTTCAACTTCTACAACTTAGGCACTATCTCCTGCTTCCTTGGTTTTGTTTGTTTGCACTTATCACAACAATCGTACATTACAAACCTCCTCAAGACTGCTGGAATGACTAACTAGCTTGTAAGTCCTTGTCAAATCCTCTGCCTGCCAAATCTTCCCCATCAGCTGTTCCGCAAGCTGCCTTCGCCAATCCAGCCCTATTTCACCAACTTGCTCGCTCTCTTTAGTACCTAACCACAACTTGCCTAGACATTGCCTTTGCTGTCAACAAACTCTGTCAAAATATGCACAATCCCATGGATTACCATTTTCAGTCCCTTAAACGAATTCTTCGTTATTTAAGGTCATTGTTACTCATGGACTCCTTCAAAAAGGTGACCTTCAGCTCCTGCCTACTCCGATGCTGACTAGGCTGGTGACAACTTGGACCAGAGGTCTAGCTACCAGTGGTTTTTGCATCTTCCTTTGGGCTGAATCTACTATCTTGGTGTGTTAAAAAAATAGATGGTTGTTGCCCGTTCCTCTACGGAAGAGGATTATCGTTCTCTAGCTGCTACCACCACTGAATTAATCTAGCTTCATCGCTTATGTCAAAACTATTCGATTTCTTTGGACACTCCCCCACTCTTCTGTGATAACATCTCCACCATGTCCTTTGCAACAAATCACGTCTTCCATGCTCGAATGAAACACATTAAGATTGATCACCACTTTATTAGAGAATGCATTAATTCTAAATCAGTGGTTGTTCACCATGTGTGTTCTCAAGATCAGCCAGATGATATCCTCACCAAATCTCTACTAACACCATGGTCTTCAAATCGCCAATACAAGTTGACTATTTTACCAACCCTCAAATTCAGGGGAGGTGAAAGCGCAACCAACTAAGCCATTTGTCTACTACAACAAATCATTTCATATTCTGCCATGTCATCCATTATGCCTGCTACAACCGTTTGCATTCTCTTGCAGCCAATCGCAACACCTAGAGTACAACTACCCAAGGGCATTATAGGAACTTCCTTTTCATATATATATATATATACACTTTATTATACATGTATTACATAATATAGTAATCACATTTTTCCTTGCTCTATTTCATCGTTAATATTGTTCTTTGTTATCTTCTAACTCTTGTTCATTTTGCTCATCACGGGATTAAAAAATAAGTAATGTAGTATTTTAATAGTTTTCAATTATCATAGATTTACATCAACGATCAACATTGAGTCCATGTCTTTTTATATTGGTTACGGAAACATTATAAATGATATTGAAAGTGATGGGTCTTAATTTATGCTTTTATAGATAATATAGTTCTAATTTATGTGACATCTAGTAAAATTAGTGGCAACATAGAATTATGAAGGAAACATTAAGAAGATGGAGGCTTTTGAATTAATTGGGCAAAGATTGATATTAAATTTGCTATTAAAAATCATCATTCAATATCATTAAAATGTATGGTGATACTTAGGTTTGATAAATTTAAATATATTTGATTTGTTATATAAAAGGAAAATCGGTTGTGTAAATGAAGATATAACTCCTAAAGTTAAAACTCGATAGTTAAAATGGAGAAGTACCTTAAGAGCTTTGTTTGATAAGAGGCTATCATAAAGACTTAGAAAGGTAAGTTTTACAAAATCAAAATTGGGCTGGTGATATTGTACGGATCAAAATTTTGGGTTATAGAAAAAGACATTGATATGAAGTTGTGTAGTATAATGAGATTATTTATATGGATGTGTGAAAATTTTGAAAAAATAAATTAAATAATAATTGTATTAGAGGAAATGTTAAAGATGAGACGGTTGAAAATAGATTTAGGCGATATAAATATATATAGCAAATGATAAGAAATATGCCCGTTAGTTTAGCTTATAAAATTACAGTTAGAGGATTAGGAAGGAACATGGATTAAACTAAAAGTTATGTAAATTAAAAGTTACTCAAAATTTATGAAGAATAAGCCTAAACATTCGGATAACATTAAGTAAGAATGTTCATGAGGATTTGAAATGCTTATCCAAATTAGTGGGGAGTGGACTAATGATGACGTTGAATCCCCATAGACCTGAATTTGACCAAGTTTTCACCTTTTGTTGTAATCTTCTTTAATGGAGTTGACTAGCTCGTGGAGAAAACGGAACATCTTTGTCATCATGATCCTTATCCCAACTATTTGGGTAGTCTTGACATACACCTTTTAATCTGCTCTGTTCAAAGGGGGTGGTAATACTGTAGCTCTTTGAGTTTTAGGAAAATTGGACGCTGTATAAGATAAGTGGACATGAATGAAGATCTGGTTATTATGGTTAAATCTAGTTAGAAAAAATATGAAGGGCTTATCATTTTCTGTAGAGAAGTGATTTCTATGGTTGTTGATGATCTGGTTGGACAAAAAATGTAGAAGCATGAACTAAGCTAGTTGCTGCAGAATGGAGGGTACATATAAAAAGCAGCCTAGCATATATTAAGGATGGAAAAATGGAAATGGAAAAAATGAGCGATATTTTAAGCATTTAAAACAAAGAGAAACTACACTAATAAATATTTGTCGTGATATTGATGTATAAGGAGATAAGTGGAAGAAGGGAATTCTAGGAACTGCAATTAGTAGTTACCTGGCCTTATGACAGATTTTTTAAACTCATGGTGCCTTGAGAACCAATGGAAAAATGGATAATTTGGAGAAGGAGCTGGTAATTTTTGCCGACATTAAAATTGTTATTTTCTTATATTAAGAAAGGAATGTCGTAAAGTTTATTCTTAAAAAATCTGTACCGATGGAAGCTTGATAAGTGAATACTGGAGCTCAATTCTTGAATTATTATCCAACAGTTTAGGCTTTGTTCAAGAATGGAATCGAAATGGAAATGAAGACAATTGAATTGAAACTTGTTTTGCCTCACTTTTTTGGTTGGGTAGAAAACTTGTGAATGAATATATATATATATATATATATATATATTCATACGTATGTATACATAGATAGAGATCTGAGAAAGTAATTCTTTATTTCTTGTGACTAGGGGGCATTTCCATTCTTCACCAAGATTGGGTAGGCATTATCAATAGAAAAACGTATTTATTGACATTTCTCAAGTAAAGGAAATACATTTATGAAGTAAAATACATTTTTATTCCTCCAAGTTCCCTCCTGCGATGCATAATCCAAAGTTCATTAGAATTAGAGCAGTTTGTTTGGCAAGAAGATATCAGAAGCATTAAAACTTGTACTCCATTATGTTTGGAAAGTTTGGATATCCTTTCCGCTTTCCTTCTTGGACAGTTTTGTGACTAAAATGTGAGCTTGTACTCAGTTTCAACTTCATAGCCAACATTACACCTACACTGAATCACTTCCATAACTTCGACGAATAAATATTTCTTCTCTTATCCTTTTACTGTTAACAGGTAAATGAAGGAAGTGCAAGTGCAAGTGAGATCCTAGCAGGGGCATTACATGACAATGGCCGAGCTGTTCTTGTAGGAAATAAAACATTTGGTAAAGGAAAAATCCAGGTAATTTCTAGTCTGAACCAGAACATCTTTCTCTCAAAAAAATAACTGCCCACTTTCTTTGTATAGCTTGCATAAAGTCGGAACATTCTACCTCATTAGTACTCTTTTGTTGTTTGATGCTCCACTATTGTGAATCCTCAGTCTCGTCTTTTTCTGAATAACCAAGTTGGTTATTTTCAGAAAATTTATCTTCTGAAGTTCAATATAGGCATTAGAAATCTTCCTTCCACAACTGACTGCTTTTATTTGCAAACGCTGCAGAGTGTGACTGAGCTCCATGACGGTTCTGCCCTATTCATTACAGTTGCCAAATACTTATCTCCAGCTCTCCATGAGATTGATAAGGTTGGCATAACACCTGACGTACAATGCATTCCTGATATGTTCACTGCATCTAAGGCTTGGACTTCAGGGGTTAAGAGCTCAGCATCATCTTCCCTTGAGGCAGATTCTTGTATCATAGTGGCTGAGCATGAATTGGAGGTCCAGAGATCAAAGGGTACTGCATCCTAATTTAAGAGATCCCTGAGAGGCATTGTATATATTAGAAAGAATTTTTACATTTGTTGTAAAATTGATAAATGTAGGCAGGAGTCTTCCTAATAGATATGTAATTTGAACTTTAAAGTGATAATGGAAAGCATAAATCTAGAGAGAGAGAGAGAGAGAGAGAGAGAGAGAGATCTATGTGAAAATGAAAATAAAAGTTTAGCCTATTATTGGATTCAAATTTGTCTGTGTATGATATCCAATCTTATTAGGAGGCAAAGTCTGAGGTTGATTGGGAACCTATTTGAGAATGGAGAGATAGAAGCTTATTAGAGAAAGTTTTTAAAGAAATGCTCAAGAGGCTAAAAAAATCTCTCTCAATTCAAAAGATCCAAAGGACTTCTTTTCACCTTTTATTTTTGGAGATATAAGGGCTATAAGAAAGACTCTATCATAAAAGAATAAAAAATATATTGACTTAAATGATACTTGTTATAGACTATCTTAGACACATGTAGCCTTCTGATTGGTTGAAGAGAATGATGTTGAATGACTTGTGATGGCCTATCTTTTGAGGTGAGTTTAGTAGTGTTAAGTAGATACACACGAGTATGCTTGGGAAAGTCTAGTGGTGAATGCAAGACATTGGGGATTATGATTGATGAGCTTGATGGGGTTGCTGGCGACCTATGTTGAAGACCTCAGCTCATATTGTCGTGACCATATGATCTAAAAGTTGCGAGAAAGGAGATATCTAGATCAGATGGTCACGACAAGATGAGTTAAGGGCTCCATGAGTAAGTGATTTTCTATAGTTAAGCATGGTGAGCATGAGTGAGGATACGCACTCTAAAGAAGAGTGGGTGATCATGGCAATTGACTTCTTATATGGCGGGTGTTGACCTGTGTACTTAAGAAGCTTGATTTTCCCACATTAGAGGAGGCCTCCTTTGATAGGCCTACACAAGTAGCGTTTGTTAATCATTTTGGCGAGTTCACCTATGTGATCTATTAGAGTTAAGTTCCTTCAACGGACTCATGAACTACTTGTAAAGTTATATTTGAGTATACATATAATTCCATGATTCACTTGACTCTTTAATGGGCAAGTGAATAAAAGGACAAGTGAATAAAGATAGTGAGTATTTAAAAAAAAGCTACCCAATAGAAATAAGAAGTAAATGTGAAATTACTGCCTTGTTTATTGTACTATCAAAAAATTGCTTTTAATTGATGTGACACAACCTTCTTCACAACATCTATAAATGGTGGCTCCACTATTGGAGTTCTTATACTTTTTGAATTCTCTAAGGAACACTACACGAACTACGAGCATCATATAGATTAGATTTGTAAGTATTCATAAGAAATGAAATTAAGCAACTTAGCTCGAGCAATTGTCAAGCTAGTGAAGAAGTCAGCATTCCATCAAGGAAAAGCTGATGAATTTGAGGAGGCACTCAATGCCTCCTTAAGCATGCAAGGGAGGCTGTATGAGGTGGAAAGAATATCCAAGGGTCTTCTGAGCCTATTGTCACCCCTCATTCAAAATAAACCAAGGCTTAGCCTAGGTGGAGACTGAGGCCACTGTCCCGCCATTGGAACTGTTATACCAATCATCATTGGCGGCGAAGTGAGATGTGATTAGAACGTGAACCTCTTTTATTATTTCAATGATGATGAGCCTCTGAGTTTGATGATAAGGCGAGTGTATCTGGGGCATCTTATTAATGTGACTCAAATTGAAGAGGTTGCCTCCACTAAGATCAGGGAGACCTTATTTGAAGTCGAGCATTTAGTACTCTCAACTACTAGAAGTAAGAAGGGCTATCTTAGACGCTAAAAGATGAATTTCCATAGGTATTAGGGCATTTGTGATGAGTGAGATGACGGTATGTGTCTCAATGAGTGAGCTCTTGGGAAACTCACCAAGCGAAGTTGAAGAGAGACACTCTCCATTAGCGCATCATGCTCATTTGATCACATCAGAGATGTGAATCGACTTCTCGCATTGCCTTTAAGTTTTTTAAATAGAGAATTTTCCACTTTTGATTCTTCGATGTTAATCACAAATGTACTACTTATGCAACAAGTTAGTGCCATCAAGCCCTTAGCCGTGGTGGAACTTAGTAGAGCTGGAAAGTAGGCTGAGGGAGCCCCTTAAGACTGAGGCTCAGCGGTGGTTAAGTATGAGGAGCATGAGTACAAGCCCTTGAATGAGCAGGCCTAGCCCTCGTTGTCCACTGGTCGCTCTTGCGACATCATCCCTCTATAAGGGTTAATAACACTTAAGGGGGTGGCAAGGAAACTTGGTGTCTTGGAGAAAATGATGAATCTCCAAAGCTTGGGTGGAGATGTGACCCAAGAGAAGATCATAGAGCTTAGGAAGTCACATCCTTAAAAGTAGAGATGAGTGCAGTGCAATCAAAATCAACCAAGTTTGATACACATGTATAGAGTAATTGTATCATTGTAAATTTCTAATTTTGCATGATTATTTGTTGTATATTTAACCATTTGGATTAAAACTTGTTGGAGGATAGTATAATGTATCTCTAGTATATTATACTATCTTGCATTTAATTAAATAAAATGAGTAGCTTATGGATGAAATTCTAAACACTTGGGTAATGATTAAACCCAAATGCTTGGAAATTCATTAACTTGTATCCTCTTAGATTTAGTTCACCGTGATTGTTGTGATTTGATTGTGTATTTACAAAGGTTAGTGACATTGATCTTCAAGCCTATTCAACATTAGGGACACTTAATAATTATTTAAATCAATTTATTTAAAATAAAAATAAAATTAAAAAATATAAAACAAATTTAAATAAAAAAATGAAATCATATAAAATTAATTTCAATTTAAATTAAAATTTAATATTATTTAATTAAACAATTAATTTTCTTAGCATAATTAATTAAATATAATAATAATAATAATAAAACTCATAACAATTTAATTAAAATTAAATAAAATTCAGAGTTTAATAATTTAAATTTAAATAAATTTTTTGAAAAAAATATATTAATAATTATTTAAAACTAATTAAAATTTAAAAAATTAATTAAAATTCCTAATTATTCAATAAAATTTTAATAAATTAAAAAAATCCAAACATAAAAAGATAAAATTAATTTGATAATTTGTTTAATTAAAATTTGTTTTTAATCAAATAAATTTGATAATTAATCTTAACTAAATAATTAAGTTTTTATGCTTAATGCCAAATTATTTTTGGAGAGCATTTTAGCATTGCATTTCAAAGCCTTTTAACACATTAAATCACCTTATAATCCTTTTATGTGGCGCTTGATTTCATTTGAAGAGCACACACATATTTTATTAAGTGATTCTAATAAAATGTATTGCCCTTGATTAAACAAAAATACCATACTGACCCTATACATCATGCTTACTTCCACTTAGAGGGTATGTGTATTGGATTGAAGGGTCTCTCTTTCTATCCCTAATGTTATAAATAAAATTCTTCTAAGACTTTATGTGATCATCTATCCTATATGGGGGATGATTGCATTTTATTTGCAGGCCTTCTAGGATATAAATTAGTAACCCCTACGCTTTGGGGTTAGTAACCTATAAATTCTTTATAATTAAATAAACATTTCCAATCATTAAAAATCTAAATAATAGAATTTAAACATATACAATGTAAACTTCAATTAAATTCCCCTTTTGGCCTTTAATAATAAATATTCTAAATACATGAAACTTAAATAGTAAATCCCTATAGGATATACCAAATCCACACTGCCTCTTTCACACACTTAGATAGTTTATTATGACAACCAACTCTATCTTAGGTTAGGTTGATAGTGTGGATTGATTGTCGAATGCTTTACTTGGACAGCACCCTTTATTTTTTTATTTATATTTTTGCAACTCTAGATGTCATACATTTTATTTTTTGTTACACACTCATGCTCTTTAAGGATTGAATTAGAAGTATTAGAATATTACATAACTGCCACACATTTATATTTATATATACTAATGATTTATTTTCATGTCTCTACTTTCCTGCAAGAGTCAAAGTAAAATGTACCTTGGAATTATGATGTACATGCATCAGTGTTTGTCAAAGTAGATTTATATATAGATCACGTTATACAGCGTCATGTGCTGCAAAAAAAGTCAAATGCACCTGCTTATACATACAAGTGGGGCTCCAAAATATGATATTCTCTCATTTGGAAGAAAATCTCTTTTGGAATTCCACAGAAGACTTAGAGCTCAAAGACACTAAGAAGATGTATATGATTATATGTATATGGTAGGCTTATCAGGTTTGTTATGGTGGAGTCTGACCACCTTTCTTTCATGCAGAGTCTGAGTATGTTGTAAGTCTTTCAATCAATAAATAAATAAAATTCCTTTTATATGCAACACTCTTTCATTTATTACATTGCATACATGTATTGTATCATATGTGTGGTAGATCACATTCGTGGGTATAATTTTTCTAGGTTTTACTCAGTGTACATGTTTTAGACTTTGTAGGAATAGGTATGTTAGTTCTAGGATGATACATTACTAGGTAGTATATAAACGAAGACTTTTATCTTGACAAGCATACATACATGCATTTTATTTTTCACAATGCACACAAACCAAGCATACAAGCCTACAACAAGGTAGTTGGGTCCTCTTCCGCTCGGAGGATGTTGCACTATTCTTGTTGGTATAGGATTATTATGCTGACAAAATTTTTAAGAAATTTCAATGGTTAGAAAATTTAGTTAAGGTTAATTAAATAAGATAAAATATAGAGTTCTTAGTGAGTCATCTCGTTAGTGTCACTTGAACATAAAGTGAAAATTACTCATCTTGATTCACTAATTTGGAGTATGATCTATTCTTTTGATCTCATAGGATAGAGCTAACTTTATTATTTATTACATCTCGGTTGATTGTGTGTGCATTATATTGTTAGTTGGCAGTTCATTCCAAGCATGTATAAGCCCAATCATATTGGCATACCTCATATTCTTTATAAATAATAAATATATGCATATATAAAATTCAACTATATTTTCTATAAAATTTAATGATTTTTTTAGGGAACGATTAGTATTTTTTAAAAAAAAAAATACATATAAGGCAACTCACTTATATAAATAATTGTATTATAGGCTTAGGACCTAATATCCACTTTAATCAAATGTTTTCTCCTTGGAGATGTAATAGATTGTTGGGTATTGCCTATATATAAACCC